ATGCCATAAGAGTAAGAGGGAGCAGGGGTGAGGTGGGGGGAGGGGGGAGTTCAGCTAAACAAAATGAACTAAAATCTAAAATCCATCCTCTCCCAATCTTGTAGCAGTATCTGAATTAGTTAAACAGAAACTCCAGTGAGCTAAACTACCAACTGAACTATTAACAGAATCAACATGCAACCTAATCATATTAGGTTACCTTGGGATTGTGATTTTTCTTCTTAACAAAACCATAGATCCTTCATCTATATAGAAATTATCAAGGCTGAAAAGCGTAAGCAGCATTTTAGCTGCACCATATTACTAATGCACATTGCTCTCTGTGCTCTGACTCCCAGGAAGCACAGCTTAGATTCCTTAGAACTAATGGCTGAAACAATACTCAGTTGTTGGTTAATATATGATCACTTCTATAAAACCACTGAAAAGTATAAAGAAACTGAAGCTTGCTAAAATGAGGCATCCTCTATTGTTTATGAAATGTACCCTGACTGCTCCTGAGTAAGAAGGGAGCGCGTCCTCCATGAGATAAGGCTATAATCTCACTTGTTGGTGAGAGTAAATTCTACCCTTAGAAAATCTCAAATGAAATTACAGCAAAGGTAGTGTTCCAAGCAATGAACTGAAACATTTTGAAGGTAGTGTGTGCACATCTCCACGCCTTGCCTCTGGGTGAGCACTAAGACATTGCTAATTTAGTAGATAAATTTAATAATGAAAAGAAAATAATAAAGCATAATTATAAATGACCCAAATATTTATCAAGTAACCAAATATCTTAAAGTCAAAGGTTCATTTTTTTTTTTTTTAGTTTAACCCTTCAATTAGTTGAATGATGTAAGAAAAATGTTTTGTAAGATGGCTTTTCAATTTGTAACGATAACGCTCCCAATATGACAGAGGTGAATTCCAAACGGGGGTTTTTCCCCTTCTCCTTATTTTTTTTTTAAAGTAAAGGCAAACATAAGTTAAGAAACAGAGAGAGAGAAAGAAAGAAAGAGAAAGAGAGAGAGAGAGAGAGAGAGAATGAATGAATGAATGAATGAATGAATGAATGAATGAATATAAAGGAAAGCATGCAGGCTCTACAGGCAAGGAGTCCACTTCCATGTATCTGGTCTTTGTGAGGTAACTCAATTCTCTGTGTAGAGAAACATGCAAAAGGCCAAACAATATTCCGAGCCATACTGCACATGGAAATTTAAAATATGCAAATTCAGAATGCACCTTTCACCTCTGTGCACAAGTCAATGCAAAACCTGCAAAGAAGCAAGTGTCACAGTAATGAAGTCAGGTGCAGCAGGGACAGCTAACAATGATGCAGTAGTGCTCACCCAGTTTGTACAGTAATTGGCACTCTACAATATTCCTACTCAGTTTTTGATTCGTTTGCACTTTGTGCTGCCTCTCCCTGGGGATCTAATTCAATCTTTACAGAAACATCTGACCCCTCCGCCCTCATTAACTTCATCTTTTTCTTTGGAGGGTTTTTCAAAGTGCCCAGCCTCTCCTTTACTTTGTACTCCAGTGTACTGTGGGGAATCCCGTAAATACTCTGAGCTTTGGAAACACTCATTTTTCCACTCATAACCACCGAGATGGCTTCCTCCAGTATCTCACTGTTGTACTGTCTGTAACGCCCTCTCTTCTTCCGAGGCTGCTTGGAGCCAGGGTCTCCTTCTTGATCCGATGTGGGATATGGCTGTCCAGAGGTAGACTGCTCAGCATCTGAGCCCCAAGAATCAGGTCCAGCATCTAACATGCTTTTTCTATTTTGTTTTGGAAGAATAGCCCTTAATTTTTTACTAAGCGCGCTCTCCGTTTGTGAACCCATTACCAAAGAGCTATAGCTATATTGATCACCAGTGCGAGACTCCCAAGAAAGATCCATTCCTCGAACTTGTGGTATCTTTAAATCTACAGGAGATGAATGGCTCATGTCCCTTTTTCCATCTTGTTTTGTTTGATGTGCCATTTTTGGAAAGGCAGAGTTTTCTGCAAGAAAAGGCAGGTCACTGATGTTGCTGAGTGCACCATTTCCCCTGAACTTCATACGGTTGAGGTTGAATTCATAATGAGGTTTTGCCCAAGAGGCTTCCCTGGATAATATTAAGTGCTGTCCATGATTCTGTAATCCAGATGGACCAAGGCTGGCAGCTGTGGACAATTGGTTTCTGCTCAGTAGTTCTTCACTAATCTGCAGGGATCGAGCCAGTGGAACTTTGAGTGAGGTGGAGTGTCCAAAACCTTCCCTGGTTCCATCCTGTAAGCTTCTTGGAGGTACCCCATCACCACTCCGAAGTCCATCTGGGCGGTACTGGCTGGGTCTCCCAGGTCGCCTAATTGGATGGAAGGAAACTGATGTGAGCAGGACTTGCACAGGAAGGGAGGGGCGGGTGAGGGGACCACTCCTTTATTAGAAGGCCTTGCTTGGGTAACATCACTTTGTGTTATTTATTTATTTTTCTCTAAAATTAAAAAAAAAACACATGGTCTCAGCAGTTAGTTTAAAAACTTGATCACAAAAAGAAAAAAAGGGAAAAAAAGGAAAAATCAAAACAAAACAAACAAAAAAGAAACCCACGAGTTTTTTTTTTTTTTTTTTTTTTTTTGGGCAAAGAAAAATTAAACCTGTTGGCAGTCTCTGGTTGGGTTCACAAATTTTCGGAGAAAAAGTTTCGCGCAACTGTTTGAAAATAGCACCTTAACCATTAATTACAAAGTAATCATTAGTGTCTCCATTATCTATACAGAATTGTTGACCAATGTGACGTTACCACTAAACAAGCACAGTAATAAAAGAGTAAGCCAAATTATTTCTTTAATGCAATGCATCCAACATCCATAACAACTATCTAAGAAGCTGGCAGCATTCACACTGGTGACACCCAGATGATGACTCATGTAACCCCCACAGACAAGTTCATGTTTATCTTTAAAACGTAAACAACTCCAAGTGACATTTCCTGTATGCTTGGGAAAAGCTTAGATATGGCAACCAGTCCCGAGGAATCAAGACCTGCTGCACTGTAACTTACCACACTTCTTCATTAAAATCCTATTGGTTGTAGGCGGAGACACAGATACCACAATTCCTCCAGGTAACTTTTTATTTTCCCCAAAATTTTGTTAAGTTATACTCAGAGTCATATAACCAGAAGTATAAATAACTTGGTAGCCAATCTTCTTTAAGAAAACTCTTTCTCCTTAAAATATATGCTTATGTTGAAATAATGTTTGAAGTCAGTTACTTATAAAGTTACTCATAAGATTTTGCTGTTGTTTTGGGGTACTGTGTATATCAGATGTCTTCCTTCCTTGGTCATTTTGTCCTTTTTTTTCTTCCTGGTGTATGGGGGAGACTTTTTTCTTAGTGAACCTGGAGCCCATAGATTTGATAGGCAGGATGACCAAGGACCACCAGGGATCCTCTGTCTCTGCCCACTCCACCCGCTATGGGATTATAGACATAGTTGGTAGCCCTGCCACCTGTGGGTCATGGGAATCCAGACAAAGGTCTTCATGCATGTGTGGCAGACTCTTCAGCAGCTGAGCCATCTCCCCAGACCCTAATTCATAGAGTTTTAATTTTTATAAGAGAAAGGTTATTGATCTTAAGAATGGCAGCTGGCAAAGCATTCCCAAGAGAATTGATTCTATCAGTCAGGCCCAAAAGTGTAATTTTACACAAATAAATGATAAACTATATTCCCCCAGATTTTACAGAGACTATTGCCACCATTAACACAGTAACACTGAATACTCAACTGAAAGACGGGCAGTACTGCTGATAGATTTATCTTCCATAAAACAAAACCAAGTAGAAAACATTTTCCATTCAGAGGAAGGCACACAGAAGTTATGATCTGGCAGCCATGTTGAAGGTGAATCTTAAACATGGGACTCATTTATGTAAACTAAAGGGACCCAAGTAACTTGGGATCATGCTGGCTTATACTTAATATATACACAATAAAATCCTGAGAAGAGTTTATATTTAACCATGAGAAAACAGGTTAATATTTTTAAGCTTGATAGTGTGGGAAGGGAGGAAAGCAATGGGATTTAGGGGAAAATAAAGGGAACCTTTTAAAGAAGTCAGTAAAAGAACCCCTCAATTTGAAGATAATTAAGATCAGGATGGAAAGAATTAGTCCATTTAGTGCCCATTTATTCCTTTAGTGTCTAAAAACCTCCCCATATCAACAGTCTTAGAAAGTTAAAGGAATACACTATTAACAAATTTAAACTCAAAATAATCTTTTGTATCAAGATGATGTTGCAGGTTTCTAATATGGTGCTAAATATTTATTAATATCTGCTTTATCAAAATGGTTACTAGATACATGTCATGAGAATTAGGTAATTCTTACACTATAAAGTAACTGGTCACAGAACCCACTGTGGGGTTAAGAGTTATCAAACTGAGTATATAATGTTTGACAGCATAAAATGGTCATTCATCTACCTACAATATTCTATTAAAAACAAAAAAAAACCCCACAATTATATTTTCTGAACTGCCATGGAATTAAAACTGCAGTTCAAATCGACAGTCAATAAAGCCAAAAACCAAACCCAAGCAAACAAAAATAAACACATATAACACACATCTTACTAGGGATACCAAATGGAACACCAGAGCCCACTTTTGATTCAACAACTTGAACACAAATTCTACGATCCTCATGTTTACACACTGTAATTGTGCAGCACAGATTCCACACTCCAAAACACTGACGAAAGGCCCCAAGATTTGTTCTCGTGACACTCATGAATTTTTCTACATGTACTAAACTGGCAAGATTAATCGACACTCCCCAATTTTAGACTGCAAAAATACACTTCTCCTTGATGGACTGAGCCATTTTATGAACGACTCACCTGTAAGACTGTTAATCTAAATGGTAAGTTATTAAAATACTCAAGGAAATTGGCTGATTAGCCTTTGATGAGTTATCTATATAAAACTGTGGAAGTCTATAAATGCTTTCCCTTACCCGGTCCCTTGAGTACTGGAGCAGCCTGGAGAATGGCTCAGGGAAGTGCTGCTAGCACATGGGCTTTTCTTAGTAGATAAATCAAGTACACCGTCTGTAGAGACACAAAAAAATACCTGAGAACTTAAGAACCAAAACAAATGTGAACCAGATATACTATAAATTAGGAAATAAGCCTAAGCAATATTTATTACATTAAAGTATTAAATTCAAAATAATCAAAGTAGATTTCTCCCAAAGAAACATAAATTTAGCAAAGCATATTGTAATGTTTTACATGTAATATACATGCATTTCTCAGGGCAAAATTTCTTGTCAACAGGGCAAAAGAAAGGTAAAACATTTTAGAAGATGCTAAGATATATTGAGACATTAGAAACACCAGTTATAGAGCATGAGTTCTATACTAGAATTATTATACTTCATTTCCTAATCCTCTATTCAAGTGTATGAATATAAATTCCCCAAGATCTATCTATTTGAAACTTCAAAGCACATGAAACTTTAATGTGGAAAATTTATAATCAGAAATTTGTTTTTAAATGATTTAATTACACTTCATGTATATAAAACATAATCTGAAGGATAATTTGTTTGTATTTTAACTATTCTTTGATATTGAAATATGTATACTTGAATTAAGTCTCTTAAGGTCCTGAAAATTCAAATTTCAATTGTTAAATTTTGTTTAAGAAAAGGGTTTTTTAAAAAATTAAAATATTTTAAAAATAGTGTTCCAATTTAGTGGGAAACATCTTAGTGTTATAAAAGCATGGAAGTATAGCCCAAAAATGAGATGAATCACAATTTGTGTTATTAATGTGTAAAATTAAAGATGTTCTTGTTTTCAAAGTTAATTTCCCTTTATAGACAGCTATACTTGACAATTTTCAAAGCTTCCATTCCATAGAGTGAAGAAAGATAACTCAGAGCTTCTGATTTGATTTCTAATTGGGCAGCAGGAAGGTCTTGGTGTCTATGGCAAAAATAAATCTGGATAGGATCTACTTACTTACAATGTACATCTGAGGACACTGCAACTTCCCATATCTGGGTGTTACAAGTAAATATGCAGCTAAACATGTAAAATTAAAGACCTAGCTTCATATAGTTTTGTTTTTAGAAGTCATTAAAACATCTATAAACCCAATTGTTGTTTAAAGAACCAAACAGCAGCCTATTAGATATCTAATACACAACTGGAGATCTAAGAAGTAAATGCTTAGAATCTTTCTAACCCAAGACAATCACACTATAAACTATCCTCCATTGCTAACACTACACACACACCTCTACATTGCTACTCTTTTATAAATCTGAAGCTTTTGATACACTATCTACAGCCAAGAGATTTTTAGTGAAAAATGTCATTTTGTAGTAAAAACAACAACAACAACAAAAACAAAATCCTCAATAAAACTGCAAAATGCTGGGCAGTGGTAGCACAGGCCTATAATCCCAGCCTGGTCTACAGAGTGAGTTCCAACAGCCTGGGCTACACAGAGAAACCCTGTCTCCAAAACAAAGAATCAAACAAACAAACAAACAAACAAAACAAGAAGATATAACTTTGTAAATACAGTAACCAAAGGTGCACTGTCAGTGTCAACAGAGAGAAGGGTAGGAGGCCTCCAGTATGCAAAAAGGGAGAAAGCATACTCAAATACATCTTTATACATGGGGACATCTTCATACATTGCTTGAAATAAGAAAAAGGTTCTTTTGAAGAAATTATTTTTAAAAATTTAGTTCTTTCATCAAAATTTATTTCTTACCAATAATCCCATACATAGCATACATTTCCTGCTATTCTTAAGTTTTGAAGACAATAGTCATTCCCTAAGACACCACCAATTATAATCACTTGTAGAAGTTCAAAAGTGCCTCGGTTGCAAAAATGCTGACAGCACTTTGTGAGAACACAAAGCAGCAGGGACTTAATCTGTTTAAAATACACTTCAGAGACTCAAGAAACATCTGAACAAAATTCATAACCTCTTAATGCTTCCACTGACTTGGATTCTCAGTAATACTTATCTTCAAGTTATTTCCTTAACTTAGTACATGTATATATAGTATATCCAACAACTTAAGCAATATTGTCTTTTATTTATAATATGATTTACTTTAAACATAGGTCTCATTATGTAGCCCTTGATGGCCTAGTAGACGAGGCTGGTCTTAGAGATCTGCCTGCCTGTGCCTCCCAAAAGCTGGGTTTAAAGGTGTGCATCACTGCACCTGGCCTAATACTCTTTTGAAATTACAATACATATTTTTACTTATCTCATTTGTAGAGTATAACTTCCATGCGAAGAATGTTTCTCAGATAAATGCTAATTAATAGTAGAATGTTGAGGATACATGGAGAAACGCCTTTTTATAGTTTTAAGAATCTGATATATCATTTTAGAAAGTCAAACAGCTTTATACTGCCCTCAGGTTAATTTAAAGTTTAGTTATTACTCCCTAACTTTCCTGTATGGAAAAGTATCTATTTTCCTGTATCTATCACGACTGCCATGTACTAATGTACTTCCCTATCACTTAATAGTCAGAACAATTTAAGAAAGACATGATTTTTATTTTTAAGAGACAAGCCTCGCTACATTGCCCAGGTTGGCCTTGACCCCAAGTGATCCACCTGCCTCAGCCCATGCAGTTGGGACACACAAGAGCATATAATCATGACCAGCTAGAATCACATTCCTTTCTATCCTATTCTTATTGTTGGTTCCCTACTTATTATACTTTTCTTCCCCAAATTAAAGTCTTCTGACTGGGTAGAGAAGACCATGACGAAAACCATACCTTGTTCGCTAGGTTCTGACTGAGACTTTCTGACAGTAAGGTCCAGAGGTGAGTCTTGGTCAGCCATGAGCAGTTTGCTGAGCACGGGGTTCTGAGTAGTTGCAGCCGTGGGAGAGGTGGTGACTGGAGATGCTTTCGGCAGGCTTTGGTTCTTTGTGCTATTGGGCTGGCTGGGGTCCTGAGTAGAGCTATTTTTTGAGGTATATTCAGCAGCAAATTGTTGGATCATTCGCTGCATGATCTCACGGGCCACTAAGGGAATATTGGGGTCGGAGACCCAGGGACTGTCTGTAAACAAAGATTTATTTACTTTTAAAGTGGGACAATAAACTAAGGAAAAGAAAAAAAGACAGCTTTCAAGAAAACATAAAATTTAGTTTTCCTTAAAAATCTAGTATCCTAACAACTGCATTCATTCCTCATTTGATTTATAGTCTTAACTGGTAAGCAATCATAGATACTGAAAATAAAATGTTCGTGTATTTCTAAACAATTTACCCACTAGGATTACAAAATTAAATAAGGGGTATCGAATGCTATTTTATGGGTAAAATCACTTACCTGATATGGAAATTCCTAAGCCTTCTCTTAGCAAACAGTTACTGTGACCATGTGTAGAAAACGTCAAGTTTTCCCTTGATTTCCCCTTAACAACTCCTTATATTCCTCAAGTACCGGTTACTGAATCTATGACTGCTTGATTACTTCTTGTTAATGAGTAAAGGAATAGCAAGACATGAAAAACATTTATGGAAATGAAAAACATTTAACTTTAGGATCCAGGATTTAATTTCAAGATCCATGTAAAGACAGATTGCTGGGTACTATCCCCAGAGTTTCAGATTGAGCATCTTGAGGGTGGCCTTGAGAAATGGTGTCAGCTACTATTGGTTTGTGAATCACAGTTTTAAAATTCATAGCTAGGAGTTTAAACACCACATTTCAAAAGCTGAAACCCACAAATTTTCCGTGAGTTCTTTAAGTATAACCTGCCAACCTTTAGAGTACAACTAGGAAATTGATACAATAAACACCTAAGTAATCAACATCTAGACAATGTTCATTCAAAAGAAAACACAGGAAAATTGACTCTCTCAGAACTGCGAAGGATCGTCAAGTTAAAATAGGGTTAGGACGAAAGGAAAAAGATCTGTGTAAACCTGTTATCTTCACATTTCTATAATTACCTAGAGACTGCATCTGTTGATTCCTATATCCCTAATCTTGTCCGGTGTAAAGTGTGTTCAATTTATTTGAGTAATAAATACAACAATCAAATCAATTACCAACTAATACCTTTAAAACAAGAGAAATGTGACCTAAACTTGTACAGGTAATTACTAATAAAACTTCTTTATAATTCTGCTCCTGACCTTAATATTCATTGGTACATTTAATTTCCATGGCCTCTTCAAGGCCTTTACAAGAGTTCTCAAAGGGCTATAGTTTCTTTATTTGTTAAAATTAGCTAGAAAAAGCAAATAAATGTTCATAATAATTTGGAAATGTAACCCTACATTTCCTCTATAAATACAGACTCGGTGTTGCAATCAGTTTTTTTTTAAAGATATTTAATAAAGAGAAAGATTTGTACAACCAATTGCAATGTTTATCATGTTTTAATAAAATTTGAGCCATAGAGTGCCTTTTAAAATACTTTTATCCACTCAGTTTTCATGTGTGTGCCTGTGCTGGTGTCATGTTATATTTGGAGGTCAGAGGACAACCTGCAGGAGTCAATTTTCTCCTTTCATCATGAGAGTCCTGGGGATTCAACCTGGGTTGTCAGGCTCAACAGCAAATGCACCCTTACCCATCTAGGCAGCCTTTCTGACTCTCATTTAATGTGTGTGAGTACCTGCATATGTGCGTGTTAAATGGACATTAATATTAATATAAATATAAATTTGTATAATCTCAATTACTACCCATGCCTGGTGCTTGTGTAGGTCAGAGAAAGCACCAGGTCTCCTGGAATTGGCATTACAAGTATTTGTGAGTGGCTACGAATATGCCAAGGTCTAAGCACACATCCTCTGCAGAAGCAGCCAGTGCTCTTAACTGCTAAGCCCTTTCTCTCCAGCCCCTCCCCTACACTGGTAATCTTATTTGTTTGTTTGTTTTTGGAAACAAGAGTTTCACTATTTAGCCTTGGTTGGCCTGTAATTCATTATGTAGACCAAGCTGGTTTGGAATTAAGTGATCTTCCTACTTATACCACCCAGAATTCAAGGCATGTACCATCACACCTGGATTCTGAATTTTCTTTATAGTTATAATACAGTTATAGAAGGACCTTTTCTCCTACATAACATATAATATCCATATGGAAGAATATATAAAACTTCAATATATTGATGGTATGTTTTTACCTCGTGGAAAGCAGAAGAATGTGTAATAAAGATTTGAAAGTTTCCAAATCTGTAGCAAAATACAGTAATTTATGGAGTCTGTGTTAATTAATAACTATTAAAGAGCTTTGTGATGAGTAAAAGATTTTACAATAAGAACTATTAAGTTCTACCTTGGAGGTTTAAAAGCCAGTATTGTATCTTGTTTCTTTTATTAAGTGAACACCACAATAATGAGACAAAATATTCAATGTGTATAACTGCTGTTGCTGCCATTTAAAGTTCTCTATCTTCTAAGAGTTTCTTGAATGCATTCACTGTTTGATTTACTTAAAAAAAATTCTGTAATCATGGTCGTGTCTGGGGAAAAACTCTCAACTGGGTCAAGTAAAAGCAATTATTATAAGATGCAGCTGGGAGAGAACCTATACAAAAACACGTAACCATTACAGCACAGCACAGCACAGCACAGCACAGCACAGCACAGCACAGCACAGCACAGCACAGCACAGCACAGCACAGCACAGCTGAATGTGGTGGCACACCTTTTATCCTAGTAGTTGAGGCAGAGGCAAGCAGTTCTCTGAAAATTGGAGGCCACACTGGTCTATATATTGAACTTTAAGACCTTGTCTCGAAGGGGAAGGGGAAAAAAACCCCAACCAACCAACCCATCTGTTAGAGTACAGCCAGTGATATATTTCAAAATGTAAATACTATTTTAAGAAATTATTATATAAATCTTTCTTTGAGAGAACCCCACCCCCCACCCCCACCCCACATCTCTATTTAGCTCTGGGTGCCCTGAAACTACCTATGTAAACCAGTCTGGCCTGGAACACACAGAGATCCATTTGCCTTTGTCTCCCAAAGGCTGGGATTAAAGGCAGAATTACCCCACTTTTAACACAGATAGCAAAGCAGACTGAGAAAGAGTGTGATTATGTCTGTGAGAGGCATAGTGCTCTTCTTAGTAAGAACTTGTTACATAGGACCAATCACAAAGTCTGCTTTTATGACATGTATCTACTTAGTTGGACCAAACTCCACATAATTATTTAAAACACGCAATTTACAACCCTTGGACAAACTAAATCCAAGCACTGGAATTAAAAGCTACATGCCAAATGTGAAAATCTGAAACACAAAGTGCTCTGAAATTCCAATCTTTCAAGTGTTGACATAAGACTCAAAAATGTTTGAATTCTGAATTCTCAGATTAGAGCTCTCAATTGGTAAAGTCCACACAAAGATTCCAAAATGTGAAGCCTCAAACACTTTCATACTGTTTAGCATTTAGGGCAGAGAAAGCTAACCTCAGTTAAACAAACTATTCTTTCTTCAGAAAAACTTCACATCATCTCCCTGGATACTGCCTGCTTTTGGCATTACAGCACACGAATGTCTGCTTCAGAGATATTTTCATCAAGATTAATAAAACACCTATAAAGCAACTATATTAAGATATAAAGCAAAGAGAAAGAACTTTCAATTCCAAAGCAACCTCACACCACTGTACAACCAATATACAAACTCAAGTTGCGTACAAATCCCGAAACCAATTTTAAGGTAAGAATTCCTACTGTAAACATTATGAACCCAACAGTATATAAGAACTATAACATAGGGGCTGGAGAGATGGCTCAGCGGTTAAGAGCATGGGCTGCTTGCTCTTCCAGAGGTCCTGAGTTCAATTCCCAGCAACCACATGGTGGTTCACAACCATCTATAATGGGTTCCTATGTCCTCTTCTGGTGTGTCTGAAGACAGCCACAGTGTACTCATATAAATGAAATAAATCTTAGGGAGGGAGGGAGGGAGGGAGGGAGAGAATATATTGTAACACAGTTTATTCTTCTAGGACAAAGGCATGGAGCTAAGTAGGCTAGAGCATCACTGAGAGAACGGCTGTGCTTAACCATCACTACCCTTAACCAAAGAACAGGTAGAGAATGTACACAGAGAGAAGGCTTCCTAGCATTAGTTTAAAAGGTTACTAAGACAACATACAGACCAAGGACACTGTTTATCTACATGCTGGTGGAGAACAACTGTAAACGTTTTGGATAATGAGCTACTAGGTAATATCTTAAATGTCAATCCCCCACCACCACCACCACCATTTTTTCAGACCAGGCCTCAACTATGTAGCCTTGCCTGGCAGGGAACTCATTATGTGGACGAGGCCGGCAGGAACTAAGACATTAAAGAAGTGTGATGCCACACCTATCGATGTGAAATCCTTTACTAAAATAATCAAATATTCACAAATCTCATGAAATTACTTTTTAAAAAACATAATTTTGTAACTCCAGGCACTTACGCTGATAAAGAAAATCTGAAAGACTCATCTGGGAGATACAGGTCAGCGTGCCAATGAGTATTAAAGGGAAGTGCTGGCACGCTTAGAAATTTGATTTTCCTAGGGATCTAATGGGGAAAAAAAACAACGAAAATACAAAAGCATGTGTTTTCCTCAAACAACAAACTTGGTTAAAGGAATACCATAAGTTTACAAGACATCTCACCTCACTAATGTTCTGAAAACATTGATCACACCAACCATGACAGCTAGTATCCAACAGTAATCAAACATTAGATTGTTTGTTTGTTTGTTTGTTTTTTTGAGACAGGGTTTCTCTGTGCAGCCCTGGCTGTCCTGGAACTCACTCTGTAGACTAGGCTGGCCTTGAACTCAGAAATCTGCCTCCCATGTGCTGAGATTAAAGGCATGTGTCACCACTGCCTGGCCTTTTTTTAATTTTATTTTTTATTTATTTATCTTTTCCAAACATTAGAATATTATTCCACTTCTGGTATACTGTCAACCTTGAGATGGAACAAGGGCATCTTGGGGAAATGAATGGTGTGAAGGCAATGGAAGTGTGGTGCAGTGTAGGAGATAGGCTCTTTTGAGTCGGCTGAGGGTTACAGGGTTAGGTATACCAATAGTCAGTAATATAAATAACTCCTTTTATTCCTTTCAGAACCACCCATCCCTGCTTCCCAACTGCATGAATTACAAGAATGTTCTACTATGCCTACCTTGTAGGAAATGTTTTCAGAAATTATCATAATTGCTTCTACCCTAGCAGGAGAGGGAAATGTGTAATTAAGGAACAGAAATTCATTCAGGAAGAATTTATTAACATAGCCAGCCATCACACAACTTTTAATCTCAGCTTCTGGGAGGCAGAGGCAGGAGGATCTCTGGTAAATCTAGGTTACCCAGTGCTACAAAGCAAGACCCTATCTCAAACCACAAACAAATCAGGTGGGTGGGTAGGTGGGTGGGTAGGTGGATGGATAGATGATAGATTAGGTAGAGACAGACAGACAGACGGACAGACTCTTTTCTAATTAAAACAAGATAAGATCATAAAGAGGTTATGTGGATAAAGAAAAGAATTGAAGCAGGGTATAGTGATGCTTGCCTTTAATGCCAGCACTTGGGAGGCAGAAGCAAGCAGATCTTCATGAGTTCCAGGACAGCCTGAGGTACATAGTGAGACGATATGTGGGACTGGGGGTAGGGATGGGCAAGAATGATAACAGTAACAACAACCAAGGAAGGAGGCGGGGAAGAGATGGAAAGACGGCTCAATGGTTAAGACTCAAAGGACTGAGATTTTCCAGAATCTACATGGTAGCTCACAAATATCTATAACTCCGTTTCCAGGGTATCCAATACCCTCGTCTAACCTTCAAGAGTACTACACACACACACACACACACACACACACGAGCATGCATGCAGAAAAAACATTCATATGTAAAATAAAATAAAGACAGAAAATTAACTGTTCCTAAGAAGAATCCCTAAGCCTCAAGATGCATGCTTCTTTCTGGCATTGCAACATAATGTTATTATACTAATTGCAAAAATTTTTAAAAATATCATAATGTCCTAAGCAATTTTGTGTTAGACCACATTGATAGCTATCCTTGGCTACATGGTTTGGTTTGAGAACCATGGGTTGGTCAAGACTGGTAGAGAGATCTTTCTGCTTTTCAAAACCAATATAAAACAAGCTTTCTTGAAGGAAAATGATGTGCTGGAAATCCTAGAGGGGACTATTAAATTTGACACAAAATGTAAACAAGAAAGTTTATTTTAGTGTACAGTTTTCTACAAGGTTAAGTTTTTAAAATTTCAGAAATGAGATTATATCAATGGGTTGGATTTTCCCAGCACCCATATGATGGCTCACACCTACCCTAAAATTCCAGTTGCAGTGGATCTGATACATGGTGCACATATATACATGCAAGCAAAATACACATATGAAATAAAAATAAATATATTTTAAAAGAGATTAATGCTTATAAAAACAAATACAACTGTAAGATTCAACTACATTTTCACTTCAAATAAAATTTCAGGTCAGAGTTTCAATTTACTGAGCTGGTTTTATAGTTATTAAGGATTTAATTTTTATAGTTATTAAGTAGCATTTTATAAGTCTAAAATGTATCTAATGAACTGCAAAGTTACACAATACATCTCTGAACTATTTAACTAAACTTACCCCAGTTTAAAATTAAAGAGGACAATGGGCTGTCTTAACATTATTTCAAATTTAATGTGATAAGGGAAGACAAATATTTGAAGAATAACTTAAAATGACATTGAAATTAAGGAGATTAATACATGACAAGCAGACAGTGTGTCATCTGCCACTGAAACTAACCTTTTCTATAAAAGACTGCATTGAGGAACTCTTCTGCTTGTCTCTGGAGTCGAGTGACTTTTGCGTGCTCTTGTTTAAGCAAAGCTTCTTGCCCAGCTCCGGAAGCTGGCTCATCCAAACCGACTAAATGTCCCTGCAAAAATATTGTGTAAAATGTTTGTACAGAAATCTCTTCCCATCCAAAAAATCCAAGGCACAGATGCATAAAGGCAAGTTTTACAAGCCAAAAGTACAAACTAGTATAATATATTTATAATACTTGAATTTTAAAAATTGGTTTAAATATTTAAAACCTAAATTCTGTTTCTAGATAACTGTACTGTAATGGTGCCTTTCAGATCTTTACTGGATTGTTATATTGATAAGTAAGTCAAAGCTGGCACTATGAGAATGAACTGAAACCACACATTTCCTGTTCCAAGTACACTTCAGTATTTTTAGTTACATTGTGTCTGTGCTTGAATATACATAAAAACATGGAATAATAAAAGTTTTCACTGCTGCAATTAACTCATCCCAGAAGCCTCCAACATCACTTCTGGTCTGCAGAAGCACACTGCGGTTAGATGATAGTGCTCTGCACTTATTTTCATTCTTGCCTCTCCCAGATAAACAGGAGACCAGAACAATGATGAGCACCACAGAATGCACAGTACACCTTCTAAGCATCCTTTAAGACCTGTGCTCACATGTCTTCCACATCACTGTAGTGTATAAACTCAGGCATTTATTTTCACCACAGACTACTTATAAAAACTTTCTAAACAAGACAGTAGGTCACACTTTGCAAAATAAAACATACATAAGAATTGCGAGCACATTATAACCCACACATTTCAAAGACTTAAAGTATACCCACTGTTTACAACCACGTTCTATGATTTTCCCATTGTAATTATTCATCATTTCTATTTGTTTCAACCAATTTATTTTAAACACTTTCACCAGGTATAATTCAGCCACCAAATGTAAAACCCAATAGATTTTATTCATATCTATAAATCGTTACCATCACAATGTGAGTATTTGTATCCCATTAACACTCAAGCTTCCATTCCTCTGTTTGCACCTGGCCCTAAACAGCCAGTTATACTTTATTTTACCTCTGAAGATATGCAGACTGTGATCTTTCATCTAAATGGAGCCATATTTTTTTTTTCAGGGGAAGGGTGTGACAATTTCCCCTAGAATATAAGGTTCATTTATATCATGGCTGGCGTGGTATTTTCTTTTATTGCTAAATGAACATTCTATTTTATGGCTACATCACTCATTCAAGAGTGGACTATTTGGACAATTTCCACTCTTCCACTATCACATGAGGAACAAGAGTACTATCTGCCCAAGTTTCTGCATGGATGTCTATTTTCATTTTCTTAGCTACACATTTAAGAGGTAATTTCTACATCAGATCACTATGTTAACTATATTTAGCAGCTGAAGAACATCAAAGTACCTAGTAAGCATGAGTAATGTGGCCTGATACATGTTTGCTGGGTCTAAATGACTCATAACGTTCTGGTTTTCCCCACATATGAAGCAGGGCCTCAGTATTTACCCAGGCTCCCCTAAAACATATGATTCTTCTTCTTTCACCTCCAAAGTGTTGAAATTGCAAGAGTAAATCATGTCATCCAATTTTGATTAGTAGGTTCTGGTGCCATTTCTTAGATGACTATGTTATGACTATTCAGTATCTCTATCCAGTCTGGCTCTCTTCCACTTACCCGCTCTCTGCCTGCATTTATGCCACCTATCAGTCTGCTCTCCTCCAGTGGCTCTTAGTTGACTCCTCTCCTGTTTTTGCTACATACTGGAGCATAATTTGCTAAGTCTGTTGCAATAGTAATGAGGTGCTTCTGCAGGGGTAAACTGTTACTAATATTTGTGGATCATACATGTCTGGCTTCTTTCCTGAGTGCTAAGACTCTAGACTGAGGTCCTTGTGCTTGCATGACAGTCATTTTACTGATTGGAGCATCTCCTCACTTCTTACACAAAAACTCAGATGTTCCTTTTTTTTTTTAAACTCTTTTTGTTTTGTTTGTTTTGTTTTGTTTTCCAAGCAGGGTTTCTCTGTGTAGCTCTGGCAGTCCTAGAAGTCTCACTTTGTAAACCAAGCTGGCCTCAAACTCAGAGATCCGCCTGCTTCTGCCTCCTAAATGCTAGGATTAAGGTGTGTGCCACCAACACCCAGCCTAACATTAACTTTTTAACGTATTTTTTTCAATTGACACTAAAAAGGAGTTATCAACTTCCTCTGAATTGTTTGCCAAAAAAGATTCTGCTTTTTAATAATAGGTTTAGGTATCTTTAAGTTTCATTGTAACATGTATACCTATGAAAAGTTATAGAGTTCCCTATTCTTGATGTCTATGTTAGAAGAACATCTGAGTTTTTGTGTAAGAAGTGGGGAGATGCTCCAATCAGTAAAATGACTGTCATGCAAGCACAAGGACCTCAGTCTAGAGTCTTAGCACTCAGGAAAGAAGCCAGACATGTATGATCCACAATGTCGTAACTGGAGAATGATACCTATAGCTTGCTGGTATATTCTTGTTGGACTGTCACAGTCCAACAGAATGGTGAACTTCAATTTCAGTGAGACTGTTTCAAAAAATTTAATAGCAAAGGAAAGAAAAAGATACCTCCATTAACCTATTCTACCCACGTGAATGAATATACATTTAACTGTGTGTATGCATATACTATGTGTACAAATGACTTTCATTCTTAAATAGCTGTTTCACTTGCCTTACCCAGAACAATAACTAAATATTAAAAGAACAAAATCATACATTTTGCTTTGTTTTCTACTTTAACCATACATGTTATCAACTGTGAGTAAACATCCTGTCTACAAATGTACAACAAGCCAGGTGTGCTGGTACATGCCTCTAATCCCAACACTCGGAAGGTGGCAAACTCATCTCTGAATTGTAGAAAAAGACTTTTACAGCAATGATGCACAATAAACCATGGCTTACTCTCCCTTGCTGTATATACATACACGATACACAAAAGAACAATAAATACAACAAAGCTTATGCAACTGAATACCCAGGTGACAGGAAATCAACAAACATTCCATTATCATTCCTCACAACTGTATTTCAAATACATGCATTATATATGGTATAGCAAAATGTAATAAAAAACATGATACTGTTCTATAAGTAAATAACTAAAAGACATTGGTTACTTCAATATAAAAAAGAAGCTTTTGGCCAGAACCAAATAGGAATAAAGCTGAAGTTCTAAACTAGAATTTCTATCTTCTAGGAGTTACCTGCTTTAGGATATAAGCTGGTAAGCCAGCTCACATCTACAGCTAATTATGTCTCCAAAATCCACTAGACTGTCATAACGACATACTACTGAGTAATTAACCACACAAGTATTGCTGTAATAACTCTAGGTTTTTTAACTCCTTGATAACTAATTGAAAAATGAGGGAGGCTGCAAGCATTAAGAGTTAATATAATGTCAATGGTGAGAGAAAGCCTCACCCCTTGCCTGGGAAAACAGGAGAGCTGGCTCTGGTGGAGCAGATGCAGAAGAGCTAGCAGGCTGAACAGCTCAGATACCATCCAGGCCCAGATACGCAGCTTTGAGTTAGCCTACAGCAACATCTACCCTACCTATGAACAGCTGGAGCAGATGAAGGGGCTGGTCCTGCATAACCAAAGCTGTAGCATCTCCATGACACAGGACATTAATAGGATAGGACGAGTCCCTGTGAGGATCCATTATTGAAAGTGTAACAGAAACCAGAGGCCTTAAACCAGACCAATGACTCACTGCAATGAACATTTGCAAGTAAAGTTGTTGGAGCAAAAAGCTGCAGCTTCCACAGCGAAATGGATTTTTTTCCTTCTTTTTAATATTTATTTTTATTTTACTGTTTTGTTTTCTTTTAGGGGGAGGCTGCAAGGATAGAGGGTGGATATGGAGGGATGGAAAGATTGGGGTACATGATATGAAATTCACCAAAAATCAATAAAAATTTTAAAAAAAGATTTATTTATTTTTATTTATGAGTACATTGCCGCTGTCTTCAGAAACACTAGAAGAGGGGCATCAGGCCCCATTACAGATGGGTGTCAGTCACCGTGTGGTTGCTGGAAATTGAACTCAGGACCTCTGGCAGAGCAGTCAGTGCTCTTAACCACTGAGCCATCAATCCAGCAGCAGTAAAAAGTTTAAAACTATGTTTACATAAAACTGCTTCTTTGTTAGAATGATGGCATGCTTACCTCACTGTGTTCATGTGTCTACAGCTGCTTACTTAATGGAATTCTCACACGGAATTCCAAAACAGAAAAATGTGTCTGTGAACTCTATTACTGTTCTATTTTAAGGGTTATGACTTTTTACATTAAAGAATTATCTTGCGAAAGCCATGACATTTGCAAAGATGACTATCACAGTTACTTTTCCTAAGAACACAGAGAAAAATTACGAACCTCTGGAAATTTTAATATTGTACAATGACTCCAAAATCACTTGAAAATAGATTCCTTCCTGAGTTAGGTGAGACTAATCAGTATTGAAAATCTAGGCATACTCACTTTTATAAAGCAGGTAAATTTTTTATAGCTCAGACTCATCTTAAACTAAATTTGCCTGACCCTACCTTCCTCATACTAGAAAAACAACCAAGGCTGTTTTGTATTAAACATTGTGATCTGAGTGTGACAATTTAGGATGTATTATCGGGATAATAAATAAAATCTGTATTAGATAATAAAAATGTTTGAATAAATCTTCATATAAACATTTTTAGATAATGTTTCAATGAATATGTTCCACATTTGTAGTATTTCTTTATAACAGATTATCAAAACAGGTGGACCAACAGAAGCAGCTTGTTTCTTCCTGGAACACAGCTTACAATACATGCAATTATAAAATTAAAAATACTTGAAAAAGGGAATTGGAGAGATGGCTCAATGGTTAAGACCATTTGTCGCTATTCTAAAGGACTGGATTCAGTTTCCAACAGCTGTGTGGTGATTCACAAATATGCACAGCCCTCGTTTCAAGGTCTCCAACGTCTTCTGATCTTTCCAGTACCAAGCATGAACATGGTACACATTCACACACACAAGCAGGCAAAACATATACATTAAA